ACGTCCGCGCAGCCTGCGGACAAAGATCCAGCTGGTGCTTCTCAGCCTGGCTCGGACTGTGACACCGCCTTCGCGTCGCAGGCGGAGACTGTCCGAGCCATTGTGTCTGTCCTTAAGGTTCGCCATGAGCTTCTGCGGAGCAAAAACATCGCCGACTTGCGGCGCGTCCTCACCGACGCTGAGCGCTGGGAACTCGTAAGACGTGTTCGCACAGAGTACGAGCAGTCCGAACACCAGCTGGCGCTACAGGAACGAGATGGCGAGAAGGGGAAAGCGAAAGGCAAGACTCCACCACAAGGTTCTAGCGGAGCTTCTCAGCCTGCGGGAAAAGGCGAAAAGGGGAAAGCGAAAGGCAAGACTCCACCACGAGGTTTTCGTGGAGCTTCTCAGTCTGCGGGAAAAGGCGAGAAGGGGAAGGCGAAAGGCAAGACTCCACCACAAAGTGGCCAGCCCCAAGGGGCAGGCCAAGGGGGTCTCGCTAAGTTACTCAGAGAGCAGAAGCGTAAGCGGTGGTGCCGGCGTCTGCAACGTGTGTGCGGCACAAAACAGATCTGGGAGGTGCTGGCTTTCTCCGGCCGCTTCGACGTTGACATGCTCACCCAAGCCCTGCGCGCCGAACCCAGTGAGCCACCTGCGCACGACGAAGCCATGAAGGAAGAGCGCCGCCGCCTCCACCACGACAAGGCTGAAGCGATCTCGCGCTGCAACGAGGGTGAGCGGCTCGCCCGCTATCGGCAAGAGCTCTTACGTGGCGGTGCTACTCAGCCTGCCGACCAGGGCCAGGAGGTTCCCACTCTCACGCGCAAGCAGTTGGACGTGCTTCGGAAGTGGGACAGCGGCGAGTTGCGAGTCAACCGGAACCAGGCGATTGTGGCGCTAGGACACGGCCGCCTCCGTACTGCGGGAGGGGATTACCTGGACATCGGCGGCAGCACGGGCGGTGGGTCTCGGCGCATCATCGACTCTTGGCAGCCGCCGGATTGGCGCGACTTCCTGCAAGACGAGCGGGAGAGGTGAGGTTTCCAAGCCCGTGTGCCCGCGGTGCTTCTCAGCCTGCGGTGCTTTTCGCTAGACTCTTTCTGCGGTGCTTTTCTGCGAGTAGTAGGACTCTTTTCAGCCTGCGGGTTTCTGCGAGTCTCAGCCTGCGAGTTTTCCGCCTCCAGGTTTCGCAGGCTCTCCGCTTCGCACGCCGCCCCTCAGTTCCAAGACGTCTGCCAAAGTGCAGGCTTTTGCAGGCTGCCGCTTTTGCAGCCTGCCACCACAGCTCAGCGTGCCGCTTTTGCAGACTTCCAAGACGTCTGCCAAAGTGCATGCTTTTGCAGGCTGCCGCTTTTGCAGCCTGCAACCACAGCTCAGCCTGCCGCTTTTGCAGGCTTCCAAGACGTCTGTCAAAGTGCAGGCTTTTGCAGGCTGCCGCTTTTGCAGCCTGCCACCACAGCTCAGCGTGCCGCTTTTGCAGACTTCCAAGACGTCTGCCAAAGTGCATGCTTTGGCATGCTTTTGCATGGACTCGCCCAGCACACCAGTAGAGACTCAGGTCTTACGAGTCCCTGCACATAATACTTTGTACACAATGTAGTCCTGCGAGTCCTACTGTCCTGCGAGTCTGTGATACAACTGTGTAGTGTCAAGCTCTGCGCGTTGATAGCAGTGTGTGCGTTGATAGCAGTGTCTTGTTTGACCATACGTCCATTCAAGTTCCGTGTGTTGATAGCAGTGTCTCGTGAGGACGTGCACCCATTCAAGCATCCGTGCGTTGATACCAGTGTCTCGTTTGGACATGCATTCATTCGAGCTCCGTGCGTTGATAGCAGTGTTTCATTTGGAGGTACATCCATTCAAGCTCTGTGCGTTGATAGCAGTGTCTCGTTTGGACATACACCCATTCGAGCTCCGTGCGATGATAGCAGTGTCTCGCTTGGACATACATCCATTCAAGTTCCGTGCGTTGATAGCAGTGTCTCGTTTGGAGATGCACCCATTCAAGCTCCGTGCGTTGATAGCTGTGTCCCGTTTGGACATACATCCATTCGAGCTCCGTGCGTTGATAGCAGTGTCTCGTACCAGGACCTTCCTGCAATGTTTTCAGAAATGCTGTACTGCAGCTATGCCTTCGCTCAGGCCATCAGGGCCCTCATGCTGCCAGCTATGCTTTCAGCTCATCAGCATCCACGTCATTGTCCAGGCCCCTTCATAATTATCCATTCTTCATCATCATCCAGTCATTATCCATTCATTATAGCTTTTTACACGACTGCCACAATTGATAGCAGTGTCTCGTTTTGACACACTTCCAGCGTTGATAGCAGTGTCTCCTTTTTACAGGACTCCCAACTACAACTACTACTTCACTGTTACCACTGTTTCATCTCTCCTGCTCTTATTGCTACTACTACTGTGACTGTTACTGCTGCTGCATGCCTCCAGCTATGCTTCTACATATCGATGTTAGGTTGCTTTGCCGGGATAATTTGTGATATTTGCATACATTGGATACGTTGCATTAAGGCGTTCGCCGAAAAACGCTGCCGCTCAGCACGTCACCTCCGCACGTGGATTCCTCACGCTTCGCGGGGTGCACGTCTGGAGCACGTACAGTCCAGTCGTTATGGGGCCTGGTGGGAGCGTTTGGGGGCCTCTTGGGGGCTTCTTGGTGCCTGTTGGGGGCTTCTTTGGGGCCTCTTTGGGCCTATTGGGGGCGACTTGGGCCGACTTGGAGCGCTCTTGCGCCGCTTGGCTCCGTCGGAGGCCATCCATCCAGTTGGCCTTTCGCGGCCGCCTTGAGGCTCTCTTGGGGTCCTCTTGGACCGTGTTGGGGGCCTCTTGGCCCGTCTTGGGTGCCTCTCTGGACCGTCTTGGGGCCCTCTTGGGCCGTCTTGGGGGCCCTCTTGGGCAGACTTAGACGCTTCGTCGACCCAAAAGGTGTAGGAGCTTCACTGCTTGCTGCGCAGCGTTCTAAGCAGCTTCGCTGCTTGGGCCGCCATGGGCATCTGAGAGTCGAAAGGCGAGCACGCTAAAACCCCCCGCAAACCTTAAGAGCATCAATGTTTTTGGCTTCTGCTAGTGCTTTTGGGGGGCTCCTTGGGGCCCTCTGGGGCCGTCTTGGGGGCCTCTTGAGACCTCCTAGGGTCATCGTGAGCGGTCTTGGGGCCATCTTGGGCCGTATGGAGGCCATCTTGAGCCATTTAGACGCCCTCTTGGACCTTCAAGGGGCCCAAGGGGCCGATGTGATCGATCTCCGTCGGTTTTGAAAGTGTTTGACCCCAAAGGGAGGGGGCATCCTGGTCGGCAGAAGTGGCGTGACCTCGGGGAGGGTAGGGGGGGGGCTTGTCATAATGTGACAGAATAAAAAGATGTACCAAGATGTCGAGACATGATGCAATCATCGGGTATTTTGGTTACGTGCATTACAGCATCCGTGGACCTGCCTCCGGCAACACGTCAATTCTGGACGTGGACTTCTCTCGCTTCGCGGGGTGCACGTCCGGACTGCGGAGGGCACGGGCGTTTGGGACTTCCTTGGAGTTTTTTGGAAGCCTCATGTGGACCTCTCGGGGGCGTACCGTGGTCTCTTGGGGACCTATTGGAGGCCATGTGTGGATCCCCTGGCGGTGCGGGCGTTACCGGGGGGGAGGGGGCCGGCCACGTCACGAGCCGCACCCGCGAGGGCCAGAGGGAGGGGCACGATAAGCGTTTGGGCTGGGAGCGGCTCGTCTTGGGGCCATCCATGGAGCCGTCTTTGGGCCGTATCGGGCCGTCTCGCAGCCATCTTCGCCGCCCTGAGGTCCTCCTAAAGCCCCAGAGGTCGCCCTCGAGTCTGATCTCTTCGATTTTCCATACGTTTCGTCCGCCTCTGCCTCCGCGGCCGCCTCCTTTTCTGCGGCACGCTCCATCGAATAAGTTGCTTTCGCGCCCGTGCTTCCCTGTGCACGCAGTTGAGCGTTGCGACGCCGCCCCAAAAAAGGTCAGCACAAGGCAACGCCAAGTTCAAGTCCCGATGAACATGGCAACAACGCGCCAGCAACTAGTATACAACTGCGCGGGCCTCTTGGCGGCTTCTTGGGGCCGTTAAGGGGCTTCTTGGGGGCCTATTGGAGGCCTCTTGGGTGTCCCTGGGGGCCTCTTGGGGCCTCTTGAGGGCCTCTTGTGGGCTTTCAGGGGGCTCTTGCGCCATCTGGCCTCTTCGGGGGCCGTCTTGGGGGCTTCCGGGGCCTCTCGGGACCGCCTGGGGCTCTCTTGGGGCCCTGTTGTGCCGGCTTGTGGACCTCTTGGGGCCATCTTGGGCCCTCCTGGGGCCGTCTTGGCCGTCTTAGGGCCATTTTGAGCCGTCGTGAGGCCCTCTTGGGTCCCCAAGAGGCCCGAGAGGCAGATGTTCCATGCGTTTTTGTACATTTTGGAGCCACAGAGTGAGGGTCGTCAGATCGTTACGCGCATGTGGCGCGACTCTAGGGGGGGGGTAGGGGGGAGGCGCTATAACGCAACACAATACACAATATGTAGCAATTGCACAATCTTTGGATACATTGGATACGTTGCATCAAGGCGTTCGCCGAAAAACGCTGCCGCTCAGCACGCCACCGCCGGACGTGGATTCGACAGGCTTGCGCCACATCCGCCAACCTCTTGGCGTTTCGGAGGGAGGCGCCCTGGGCGCTCCAGCCCTGTTCGCATGGGGGCAGCGCTTGCAGGGAAGCGCCACCGAGAGGGGGGGGGGCTCTCGTGGGCACCCCGTGCCCTGACGTCCGCCCATGTGATCTTTTCGGCCCGCGGCCCCAGAGATCCCTGCCGCTTCCCAGGAGGTCGTCTTCTTCGTACGGTGGGGGCGCTCGCGGAAGCAACGTGCCCAGGAGGCTGCAGACCCTGGAGGGTTCCTCGTCTGCGGAGGGCGGTGGCTATATCCATGGCCGATCCACGGCTGGATCTCCACAGGATGCCAGACCCTGGGTTCCTTACCCAAGGGTTCCCTGTCCAATGCCCCCACCGTATTGGATTCGCTGCCGATGGCCCCGCAGCCCGATGATCGCCCCGATTATGCCGTCGGGGAGCCGGGTGCCCCCGCCGCCGGCCCGGCCCGCAGGAGTGAGCCGAGCGAGCGCTTGCCGATGCGCCCCGGCGGCGTGCAGAACCTGAAGGCGTGTCTTCACGGGCTGGGGGCCCCCGCTCCCGCGGTGGCCCGGCGGCCCACACGGCGGGCACCGCCGCCGCCTGGACTCCGGGGAAGCGCGCCGGTCCGCGGGCGAACAAGGGTATAGAAATCGTATGTTCCGCCAGCGGGGACGGTCGGACAGTTGATATATCCCCACGGTGGCAGGTGGAGGCAGCAGTATAAACCTCCCAGCAGCTCTGGGGCAGGCGCCCCCGAGGGTGAGCGACTTCTTCTATGCCGTGACTCTCCAAGCAGGGCGGTACGGGCTCACCAGGGACGCCTCGGCCCCCAATCGCCTACTCATCGCCGTGAGGGGGTCCGATGGCCCACCCCGCCCAGGAGCGTGCGGATTCGTTATCGGGGGTCATCGCCGATCTGTCGGACGTGCACCTCAAACGGTGCGAGAGAAGGACGGCAATGTCCGCTTCAGAGAAGTAGAGCGGGTATTCCCGGAAAGGTATGGCGGGAGCAAATATTGCAAAGCAGGGCAGACATCGGCATCAAAGGTGCCTGAAGACTATGTTCGGGATTTGTGGGATGATGTAGTTCGGCTTTTGCTTCTCCCATGGCCATGAAGGGCGAAGTTGGCGTTCGTTGTGGTGCTCAACGCTGCTGCCGTCTCCGTGCCGTCGCTTGCATGATCAGAGGCGGTCGAGGGAGGAACCTGGAGTTACGGGCAGGGCAATTATATAGGGGAAAATGGGAAGACGGAGAGGCGGAAGAGGAGGAGGAAGAGGAGGAGGAGGATGAGGAGGAAAAATAATAGGAAGAGGAGGCAGGAGGAAACAGAAGAGGAGGATGAAAAGGAGGAGGAGGAATAGGAGGAGTAGGAGTAGGAAGAGGAGGAGGAGGAAGTGGAAGAGGAAGGGGGATGAGGGGAGGAGGAGTTCAGACACAAGACGCATCTTGCTCGCGTACTAGAGGCACGGCAAAGCGCGATCGAATCGAAGCGGCAGCAAGCGCATGCTGGCTTGCACACTAGAATTCACACACCTCGTGCCGTTCGCCGATGGCCATGAACTTGTTCGCCGAGGTTGTAAAGCCGATGACCAAACAGAGACCGTGATGCACGTCCTGATCGTATATGACAGTAACTGGCATGGCGCACCGTGTCCGAGTAGTCCAGGTGTTGTCAGAGTGGCCGCCTTAGAACGGTGATGAATTATGTGAGGTTGCAGTTCATGATGATGATTTTGAAGAACATGATGACGATAATGGTGGTGATAATGATGATGCTGGTGGTTGTGATGATGATGACTATGATGATGAGGATGAACATGATGCTGCTGATGATGATGATGATGATGATGATGATGGTGGTGGTGGTGGTGATGATGATGATGATGATGATGATGATGATGATGATGATGATGATGACGATGGTGATTTTTCGTATTCGTTCAATTCTGTTTTCAGGTCTCGCAACCATAGGCGCAGGAAGACAAGATAATTCAAGGTCCCGTATGTTTGTTCGTGAAGAGACACCTGTTTGAGAATGACGGCGCAGCGCTGCGCACTCCAGGCTGCGAGAGAAAGGGGACCAGTGGGATGTGCCTGCGGCGACGCCAGTCACACGCTTGGTTCGAGGGCTTCAAGTGGGAGGACATGCAGGCGACTTTGTTAGCCGCTGCCGGCAACCGCGGGGGGTGGGGGGGGTCATCTAAGGGACATGTCCAGGATGAGGGTTAGGAGAGAGGGAGGACGAGGAGGAAGAGGAGGAGGAGGAGGAGGAGGAGGAGGAAAATGAGAGACCGAGTCAACCAAGGGCGCATCAACGATGCTGCAATACACCCTTTGGTCCCGAGTCTCCTCATCAGTCCTTTCGAGCCTTCGGCGCCCCCGCGGAAGAGCTGCACCCCTTTTGGCCTGCCGTGCAGGCGAGAGCCGGGTTCCGAAAAGGAATCGCCTCGCATCCTGTGAGGGAGCCGTCGGGAAGGCGAGATGGTATGGTCATACAGTTCGACGGGGTGTCCAGCGAGGTCCCTGCTTTGAGGAAGGACCGCCCTCGCCTGTGTACTTGTTGCAGAGGTCTACTCCTGCGGAGGGTCGAGGAAGGCTTAGGCGAGAGCCCCATTTTGAAAAGGAGCCGCCCTCCATCCGTGCAGCTGTTGCATGTGCTTATGCTTCCGGTATCTAAGACGCCTACGGCGAACCACCGCCGCCCCCCTGTCTTTGGGAAACGCCTCTGTGGCCAAACGAGGGGCCGAAGTCTTGTCAACCTATTGGACTATGTGTCCCCCCAGCCGTTGTGGTCACCTTTGGGGGAGCACTTGTCCGAGGAGGAGAGGGTTCTATAATTGTGGATGCATGTGTATATATATATATATATGTATACGTGTATATATATATACACACCTATAGATATCTCTATATATACATATATACGTATCTATCTATATATAAAGATATATAGCTATCTATCTATCTATCTATCTCTCCGCGCGGGGTCATGCAGCTGGGCAAGCCGCTGTGCAACAGATCAGCCAAGGTCGGGGAAACATTTCCCCGACTTGGGGTGCAGGCATCTGCGGAGTTTGGAGAGCACTTCCCGCTCCGCTTTCGAGGGTGAGCTGCAAGTCCCCCTCAGAGTGCGATGCGGCAGCACCGTACCGAAGCCGCGACATGCAGAACAGCACAAAGCGCCTCGCAGCATTGCAAGATGACGAGTGGAGGAGGAGGAGGAGGAGGAGGACGAGGAGGAGGAGGAGGAGGAGGAGTCATTCTGCTCCGCCAAAGGAGGACCCAAAAAGCACCCCCACAGCCAGACGGTCACAGGTTGTCCGAAGGGGGCCTCGGAGGTCACCGTTCTTCCAAACTCCTCGGCGTGGCAGCAGCGGGATGCAGTGCTGTGTGGTATACCGCTGCTTGCAGGGATCTGAGCAGCAGCTGTACAGCTGGCCGTTTAGTTGACAGCTCTTCGCGCAAACGGGGCACTGAACGACATGGCTCCTCTCGGCAGGGTCGTGCCCAGCATTACGGAGACGGCACACTCCCTCCGCGGAAAGGGCACTCTGACTCGTTAATCCTTCGAGGGGCTTTCTCCCCCAGAACTTGCTCGCTAGAAAACTTCACGCTGGGTGGCCAGTGTCTATACAGGATGTCCGTTGCCAGCCGATCCGCCTCTTTCGTCGCAGCCACATCTTCACCCGAGGTCTGCACTTTCGCGGCGGCGGCATTGGCAACGTGATCTTGCGCCACGGTTGAGGTGCCCTACGACATCTGAAGGCAACATGTTTCGGCTTTGAGCCCGAGTGGGGTGCCCCTTGGTCCAGATGATGTTCATGGAGCCCCCACGGGCCCGCATGAAATGATGACATTCGGCCCACAGGTCTTGCACTTCAGAATTGCTCTTGGCCTTCAAAGACCTTCGAGCTCATGCCACACACCCGATGCCATCACAATATACTCGGCAGTGACCTGTCGTATTCTTCGCTATCTGAAGGAGAACGTGCATAGCTCAGCCCTGGGGGTAGTCTGTCGCAGGGTCGGGAGGGAACCGCTGAGCACGGCGTCGAGCAAGCCAGCAGGACCCAAGTGGACAATGGCCCATCCGCGCCGTCGAAGCCTCCAGTCCTTCGTGTGCCTCTCCCCCGATCCATCGATCCCCCAAGTTTCCCCATGAATGCATCGATCCCCCGATCCATCGATCCCCCAATCCATCGATCCCCCCAGATCCATCGATCCCCCCGACCCGTCGATCCAACGATCCCCGATCCCGCCTCCCTTCAGCCGTCCCCACTTCGGAGCGAGTTCGCTCAGCCGGAGGGAGAGAGGAGGGGGAGGAGAAGGACGATGAGGAGGAGGAGGAGGAGGAGGAGGAGGAGGAGGAGGAGGAGGAGGAGGAGGAGGAGTTTGGGGAGCCTCTGAGGGCCTCTCGGGGTTCTCTGGGGGCCTCTAAGAGGCATCTGGCCGGTCTGGGGACCTCACAAGCCGTCTTGGGGCTACCTTGGAGGGCTCTGTGGCAGTTTCGGGATGTCGAAAGCCCGAAAAGATGAGAGCGCGACAAGTATTGAAAACCTGCTGAGCGTCAATGATCTTGGCTCATGGAGGTCCTTTGGGAGCCCTCTTGGGGCGTCTTGGGAGCGTCTTGCGGCCTCCGGGCCGGGTTGGGCCGTCGCCCTCTTGGGCCGACTCGGTGCCACCATAGCCGTCTTGGGGCGTCTTGGAGGAGGTCGTCTTGGATGTCGTCTTGGGGCCATCTTGGGTGCAGACAGTCGTTGGAATGGGGTTCGCGCGTGTGGACGGCGCGTTTGGCCAGAGGCCCTTGGGATTCTCCACATACGGTCTTGAACAGTAAAACATTTAGCACGCCACGCGCCCCTGTGATAAACAAAGAGCAGCGGGTCGAAGGCGCCTGCGGCGAATCACCGCCGCCCTCTGCCTTTCGGAAGCGCCTATCTGGCCGAACGTTGCGACCAAAGCTCGGCCAAGCCAAGCCATCGGACTATGTGTTCCCCCAGCCGTTGTGGAAGCCATTCGGGGATCACGAGGGAGAGAAAGGAGAGGAGGATGAGAGGGAGGATGAGGCCTTTGAGAGTCGCTTGGGGCACTCTTTGGGCCTCCTTGGGGCCTCTGGGAGGCTTCTTGGGGGCTTCACTGGGCCTCTTTGGGGCCTTTGGAGGCTCCTTGGGAGGCTCTTTAGCCGTCTGAGGGCGTTCCTGGTCAAATGACGCCGTCGAAAACCGTTCTGGGGACTTCTCTGAGCCACGTTGGAGCCCCCTTGAGGCGCTTCGGGGCCGTCTTGGAGGCCATCTTGAGCGTCTTGGGACTTTGAAGGAATCCAGAAGAATCTCTCCGATTCTTGAGGGTTCCTGGACAGGAGCCTCGCTGAAGACGACACTTGTTCAGGCTACAGGACCACGGTTGGCAGGTGTATGTGTGTAGGCGCAGGGCCAGAAGAGTGAACTAAGCAGGATTGTTGGGTTGCTCCGTTGCATGGGGAGGGGCGGGCTGCTCAGGTCTGGGCCGCTTGGTCCGGTGCCGCCTCTTGAGGACAGCCACGGCAGATGCGGCAAAGTGGACGGGCCTTGTGCATCAGGCAAGGGAAGGTAAGGGGGGGCTGGAGGGACAAATGCTCGGCCGCCGTGCAGTGGCGCTGTCGCCCTCGCCGTCGCCGTCGCCGTCGCCGTCGCCGTCGCCGTCGTCGTCAGCGTCGCCGCCGCCGTCGCCGTCGACGTCGTCGTCGTCGTCGTCGTCGTCGTCGTCGTCGTCGTCGTCGTCGTCGTCGTCGTCGCCGCCGCCGCCGCCGCCGCCGTCGCCGTCGCCGTCGCCGTCGCCGTCGCCGTCGCCGTCGCCGTCGCCGTCGCCGTCGTCGACGTCGACGTCGCCGCCAGCAGCAGTCCCGGGAGGGGCCCACCGCGCGCCACCCGCACGCCAGAGCGGCAAGCTGGCCCCCCCGTACAAGCCCGTCGTCAAGAGCAAGAAGGCTTCCCCCCTCCTCCTCCTCCTCCTCCCCCTCCTCCCCTCCCCCTCCTCCTCCTCCTCCTCCTCCTCCTCCTCCTCCTCCTCCTCCTCCTCCTCCCCCTCCTCCTCCTCCTCCTCCTCCACCTCCTCCTCCTCCTGCTCCTCCTCCCCCTCATCCTCCTCCTCCTCCTCCTCCTCCTCCTCCTCCTTCTTCTCTTCTGCGCGCCTCCACGCTCGCGCAGCCGCGGGCCTCCTCCCCAGCCTCGGCGCCTCCTCCGCGCTCTCCGGGGGGCGCCGCTCGGCGCTCTTCTCCCCTGGCGGCCTCGTGCGCGGGCAGGGTGGCGAGGGCAGAAGCACGGGGACCATGACCAAGATATCGCGGGAGCTTGTCGATGCCGAGCCGATGCCGATCTTGGTCATGGTCCATGTCGGCCGCCGCCGCTTTGCGAGGAGGATCCACGAACCGACGCTGACCAGGATGGACGCTGACTAAGATCGGCACGACGTTTCCGCGTTCAGTCTTGGTCGTGGTCCCCATGTTCTCCCCCTCCTGGGGAGGCTTGGAGCGGCGTCGGCGGTGCGCGGAGGGCGCGGAGGTGCGCGGCGAGCGTGCCGCGGAGACGTCTAGCCGCAGGCGGGCCAGGCGGGCCACAGGGGCGGGCGGACGAGGGGGCGCGAGGGGGCGAGGATGGGGGGCGAGGAGGGGGAGGAGAGCACGAGGGGGCACGAGGGGGCACGGAGGGTGCACGAGGGGGCACGGAGGGGGGCGAGGAGGGGTAGGAGGGGGGGAGGAGCTGGACGGCGGCGGCCAGGGCGGCGAAGAGAGACGGCACGGGGGGGATCAGCTCAGGCGGGGATGATGGCCCCTGCGATCGCCGTCTCTGCGCTTCGGCGAGCTCGAGGGATCACCACGTAGAGGGCACTTTTTCCCAGTTGCACTTGTCTCGAGAGGGTTTGGCCACTGGCCTCCTATCTCTCGCTGCATCGAATGCATCGAAGGCATCGATCCCCAATCGCGCACTGAACGCCGATAGGGGCCCGACAGCCCCTCCCGCACAGGAACATGCGGTTTGCCATCGGGGGCTCGTCATCGATCTTTCGGCGATGTATTGCCGGTTCTGGGTTGATGGCTCCCCCCCTGAGCTGGTCCACCCATGGCGTTCCCCCTCAGGCCACGGAGGGGGGCGAGGACGGGGAGGGGTTGGAGCACGACAGCGGTGGCCACGGCGGCAATGAGAGGTGCTGGGTAGTGGTGATGATGATGGATGGAGGGTGGCTGATGATGGTGATGGTGTTGCTGCTCGTGGTGGTGGTGATGAAGGTGATCTCATTGATAATGATGATGGTAATGATGTTGATGGCGATGATGATTTGATCAGGAGGACAATGAAGACGATGATGCTGATGACTGTGATGCTGATGCTGTTGACTATGATACCGGTGACGATGATGACGAGGACGATGATGATGAGGATGATGATGATGCTGATGCGGCTGATCATGCTGATGATGGTGATCGTGGTGACCGTGATGATGATAATGATGGTGATGATGGTGATAGCTGTGCTGACGATTATGATGATGATTATGATGATGATGATGATGATGATGATGATGATGATGATGATGACGCTGCTTATAGTGATGATGATGATGCTGCTGATGATGATGATGACGATGATGATGATCGGGCCGGGCGTGAGGAGGGGTGATAGGGAAGGGGGGAGGTACGACATTTGCCGCGTGCAGCTGGTTTCGGCCCCGCCGCTTGGCGCTTTTCCTCGTTGCATTGGCGCTTCCCGGCGCCCGTGGACGCCAGCTACGCAAGTTGATTTGCAACCCACCCCCTTTGACTTCCCTCCCCGTGTCGGCCCGAGATGACGACGGCGATGGTAAGGATGATGAAGATGAGGATCGTGGTGGTGGTTTTCATTGTAGTCATGACGGCGATGTTTATGATGATGCCGAGGGCGACGACGATGGTGTTGGTGATGGTGATGGTGATGGTGATGATAGTGGTCGTGATGGAGGTGATGGTGATTATCGAATGGCCTTCGGCCTATCCCGCCGCCGTGCCTGAGTTGCGGGTGTGAAGCTTACTGGATGTTCGTTGGGATCTCGTGGGAGGCTTCTCGGGGGCCTCTTCGGAGGCAGTTTGGACGCCTCTTGGGGGCCTCTTGGGGCCTCTTTTGGGCCTTTTGGGGGCCTCTTGGGGCCTCTTGGGGGCATCTTGGGGCCTCCTGGGCGCCTCTTGGGGCCTCCTGGGGATCTTGGGGCGGAAGGCTCGGATTTTGGGTTTGTGTTTCCTCGTTTGGGCCTCTTTCGGGGCCTTCTTGGGCGCCTCTTGGTCTGTCTTGGGGCCCTCTTGGGCCGTTTTGAGGTTGGGCCGTCTTGGGGCGGTTCTGGGGGCCTCTGGGGCCGTTTGCGAGCGTCGGGAAGCCGAAACGGTGGCAACGCCCAAACACATAAGACAAGTTAATGATTTTGGCCTCTTGGGGCCCTCTTGGGAGGCTTCTTGGAGGCCTCTTTGGGCGTCTTGGCGGCATCTTGGGACGTCTGGGGGGCAATCTTGGGCGTCCTGGGGCGATCGTTCGGCGACTCGGGGCCCTCTTGGACCGTCTTGGCGGCCTTTGGGAGCCCTCTTGCCCGCCTTAGGGCCCTTGTTGGCCCGCAAAAAGTCACACGAGAAGACGCGGGAATTGAGGGTCCGAGCCTCTGAGAGACTCCTCAGGATTGAGGTCTAAGGCTCAGTTGATTGTGCAAAGCACCTGAGGACACGCCCACTCCGTGCCCAAAAGCACGATGGCAGACGATTTTTAAGATGGGGATGATGAGCAGAAGGAGGAGGATGAGTACGATGAGGACGAATGCTATGCGGAGGAGTACGATGAGGATGAGGAGGAGTGCGACCAGTGTAAACTCATCAAGCATCAACGACGTTGCTCTTTTCATATGTCCCTTGAAGAATGTGTTATCATTGCGGGAAGTGGCCCGCTAGAAGACAACAGTCCGAGAATCTTCAGTCGTGCCGAAGCACCGTTCCTGGGACTCCAACGCCGCAGATTTATGTGAGAGTTGCGTTCTGGTAGTCAGAAATCGTGCCAGGACGCCATTCCTGGGACTTGCGCGAATCAAGGTGACTGCTGCGTCCTGACAATCCTAGGTCGTGCCAGAACACCGTCCCTGGGAACTCGACCATACGAAACTTGGCACTGGTACAAACTTGTTAGACGAATGTGCGCGGCGCTGAGGAGAGAGCCATATTGAAAAGGAGGCGCCCTCCATCAGTCAAATTGTTGCAATTGATTCAGACGAATGTGCGCGACGCCGGAATCACATTTTGGCATGGACCCGCCCAGCATCTGCTGAACACTTTGGAAACATGTGTGCGGCGCTTTTGCGAAAACCACATTTTGATAAGGACCCGCCCTCCATCCGTGAAGCTGCTGTGAACTTTTAAGACGAATGTGCGCGGCGCTAAAGCGATAACCGCATTCTGAAAAGGACATGCCCTCCGTCCGTACATCTGCTGCAACATTAGGAGACGAATGTTCGCGGCGCTGAGGCGAGAGTCACATTTTGCGAAGGACCTGCGCTCCATCGATGAAAAAATGGCAACTCTCAAGTTTCAGGATCATCAATGGCGAGGAAGCTCTAGGCGAGACGCCAGGCCCGCTCTACCGACACGTCTGGGGTGCGACAGGGTTGGAGCTGTTCATAAGCTGGGACGTGGCGGCCGATCTGTTTCGGGCTTTTCGTTTTCGGAATCCAGAGTCAGGCGGCAGGAAGCAGGGTTCAGCGCAAGCTGGGCTCAGCCAGAGCGCCAGGTCCTGCAGAATCCTGCAGTGCCGGGTTTTGGCCAAGCTAGGTTTGGGAGCCAGTCGTGGCCTTGAAGTTGGCCTTACATATTGGCTGAGCCGGCTTTGCATCGCCCCAGAATTGCAGCGCAGGGCTGTCTGAGTTGGCCAAGCCGGGCTTGCGCTGAGCCGTGTTGGCCCACACCCGTGACAAAAATACAGCGCCGGAGGAGAGGGCAAATGTTGTCTGCGGTCTGCTGCTTTTGCCGCTGCTGCTACCTGCCATCCTCGAGCCTCGGTCCTCGAGGGTCTAGGGGATGGAGGTTCGAGGACTGAGGTTTCGACGCTTTCGGTTCTCCTTTCAAGCAGTGGCGAAGCGTCCTGCCTCGCCTATAGCCCTACCAAACAATGTTCTAAGAACCTTTCGCGGTTTCCACCAAACTGTTCTTAGAACATGTCTGGCGAAGTCTGTCTTGTTTGAACACTTCGTGTTTATGTTCTAAGAACATTGTTTTTGTTTTCGGTTCTAAGAACATTTCGTGGTAGGACTATAGGAATGCCGGGACGGTCGGTCCCTGCTCAAGTTTTGACGCTTTCGGTGTTCCTTTGAGCCTGCGGGAGGGCTCCTCGTCGCCACGGCCAGATCTCCCCTCAGAGTTCTGGTCGGAGTGCACCCCTGAGCGTGTCTGGTGGCTTGGCTTTGTCCCTGGACAGGTTGCCATGAGCCCTTCACGTAGTGAAAAATCACAGCGGGATGTTTTTGACAGCTTTCGGCGACTGCAGGCTGGGAAAAACGGTTCGGCATGAAACATCAACCCCAGGGAAGCGGAGACCTGTGGTGACCCGTGAGGGTCCTCGTTGTGAAACAGATGCGACGTTGGGGGTTTGGGAGCGCGTCCATCTCTCCCTGATCTCTGCGTGCATGGCAGGTGAAAGCAGACTGCATTCGGAAGCCTAGAGGTCGGCACCAGCAACAAGATCGGCGGTCACATCCCCCGAGGGAAGGTTGGCCCCGATCCTGGTGGTGGTGGGATTATTAATCGCTTCGCTCATTCCGCCGGCCCATATTGTCGCACCGTTGTGGGCTAGCCGAGTTTTGGGGCCTCTTGGGGGCCGTTTTGGGGCCTCTTGGGGCCTCTTTTGGGCCTCTTGGGCGCCTCTTGGGGCGTCTTGGGGGCCTCTTGGGGGCCTCTTGGGGCCTTTTTGGGGCCTCCTGGGCGCCTTCTGGGGCGGAGGGCTCGATTTTTCAGTTCTCGGTTCCCCTCTTGAGCCCCTCTTGGGCCCGTCTTGGGGCCTCTTGGTCCGTCTTGGGCGGCACTTGGGCCGTCTTGGGGGCCCTCCTGGGCCGTTCCGGGGCCGTCTTGGGAGCCTCGTGGGCCGTCTTGGAGCGGTCTTGGGGGCCTCTTGGGCCGTCTTGGAGCGTCCGGAAGCCGAAAAAGCCAGAACGCAAAAAACATCGAAAAAAACAATGAAAATCAACGATTTTGGCCTCTTGGGGCTCTCTTCGGAGGCCTCTTGGAAGGCTCTTGGGGCGTCTTGGAGGCCTCTTGGGCTGTCTTGGGGGCCTTTTGGGCCGTCTTGGGGTCATCTTCGGCGTCTTCGAGCGCTCTTTGGGCGTCTCGGGGGCCTCTTGGGCAGTCTTGGGGGCCTCTTGGGGCACTCTGAGCGCGCTCTGGGGAGCCTGAGAGGCCGCACCCAGAAGGAAAACCATCTCTGAGTAGACTTGGTCGGGCGGCGGTCGGGCGGCGGTCGGGCGGCGACCGGGCGTTGGTCGGGGTACTTTTCGCCGGGGGACCCCCAGGGGCCGCCCCGCGCGCGCGAACTAGAAATACTGTTAATACTGTTAACCAGTTACCGGAGATCTTAGCACGCCCTGGCCCGTTGGGCCGGCGAATTCAGGCCTCGTATGTGACCAACCGAAGATCATCTTCCCATGGTGGAGGCGACCCCCATAGTTATAAAGGTGCAATGTTGTGATCATTCTATGTGCGCACTGATCTGCATGAGTTGTTCAGGCTATGGGGTCCGTGTCAAGGCCCCGTATTTGGTCGTTCTCTGGATACTGCCCTGGCCAGGTTGCTCACGGTCCAATTCGATTCGATCTGATCCACAAATCTCGATTCCAATTCCGATCCGACCCGGCACTACCCGATTCCCTCTCGCGCCTGCAGGGGCGAGCTCGGTCCTCGGTCACAAGCGATCCGATCCCGATCCGATTCTGTGCTGATCTGGCAGGAACCCGATCCGTTACCGATCCGATCCGATTTCGTGATTCAATCCAGAATGATGCCTATGTGGTGCGCTTTTGAAGACATCACCCAAACATTCTTTAGTAATACCGAGTTTGCGTCGGTCCTGCAGTGGCGACGCGCTCATTGAACAGGCCTACATGTATCCTACAATCTCCGTGGCGGACGTCTTCTGGTCAGAGCGCCTGGGTAGCAGCACGCCGTGAGGTGGGTCTGCTACATGTTCCGATCGAACGTGAGCCTCCAAGGGAGCAGTGCGCGATGTTCCTGAGGACGAGTTTTTGCCTCGTGTGTGTTTACCCAGTTCGGCTGCGCCGACAGCGCACAGCTTGTGTCGGCCCTGGTTGCGCCGCCCGCGTCGTATTGAAGTGCTTCCGTGGACAAGCACGCGTTGACACTCCTCGGCGGCGAGCGATGGGGGGGACGTGCGCAGGAGAGGGCCTTCTCGGGAGGCGGCGGGGCTTCTCGGAGGCCCTCGCGCCTTCCGAGATAGGTGTCCTCTGTCTTCGGGGAAGGCCGAGGACATCTCTCGGGAGGCCGGGGACCTTCCGAGCCCTCCGAGAAGGCCCGCCCCCCTTCTCGCCCTCCCCCCTCCCCCTGCAGGCGCGCCGCCGAGTGGCCCTCCGCGCCTCCCGCCGCCCCCGCCCCCCCCCCCCCGCCCCTCCAGCGGAGCGAGGCGGCGGAAGGGGAGCAGCAGCAGCAGCAGCAGCAGCAGCAGCAGCAGCAGCAGCAGCAGCAGCAGCAGCAGCAGCAGCAGCGGCAGCGGCAGCGGCAGCGGCAGCGGCAGCGGCAGCGGCAGCGGCAGCAGCAGCAGCAGCGATGGGCGAGGAGGGGGCAGGCCCCCCGCCCCTACCCCTTCCAAGAGTGCCAGAGGGCAGCCCCTCCAGACTTGCAGACCTGCTGCCGGACTGCTCCGAACCCCGGCCAGAATTCAGACGTCAGGGTCCAGGTGCCATTTTGTTGGCCTTCCTGGAAGGTCTGTCCTGGGCGCCGCCCTGGGTGCCCCCGCCCCGCGCCAGGACTTGGCCAACTTTTCCGCCCGCCCCGAGGACCCGCCGAGAGCCCCTGCTGCCGCTCCCCTCCCCCCCTTCGCCACCGCAGCCACTCCGGGGGAGGGTGGCAGGATGGCCTCGGGCGGATGGCGAAGGATGGCCACTCGGCGGCGAGCGAGGGGGGGAAGTGAGAAGGGGGCGGGCCTTCTCAGAAGGCTCGGAAGGTCCCCGGCCTTCCGAGAAGTTTTCCAAGCCTTCCCCGAAGACAGAGGACACCTCTCTCGGAAGGCGCGAGGGCTTCTGAGAAGCCCCGCCGCCTTCTGAGAAGGCCCTCTCCTTCTCACTTCCCCCCGCTCGCCGCCGAGCCACGGGAATTGGCGAGTGGGACTCGCCTCGATCCGACTCGGTATGGACCTCGGCCACCCCGAGCCGGCTCGGCTCCGCTGCTCCGGCGATATCCCGTGCGGCCCCCGTGCCCGCATGGCGCTGCTGTGCCTCCTGGCAAGGCCGAGCCGGTTCGAGTTCAGTGCCGCGCGGGGGCATGGAGCTCGTTCTTGGGGTACAGTGGGGGCCCATGTCAAGAAACACCCTTCTTGCCTCCAGGGTGCGCTGGGTTTCTTGGGTTTCAATGGTCTTGCCATGGAGAGCGCGACGCTCCCACACCAAAAATCCATGGACGTCCTGGGGTCTCAGGGTTGGGTTTCTTGTGGAAGGTTTCGCGTGGTCGGGCCTCCACCGTATCTTCCCGGCGTAGCGGGCGTCACCAGTGGGGTGAGGAGCTCAGTTTTGGGAGGGGTCCAGAACAGCTGGGGCTGTGAGGATGCCCGGACCCCGCCGGCGCCGAGCGTTTCGTCACCGATTGGGGGGGTGAGGGCCCGGTGGCGGCCGTTACTCCGAATAATAAAACGCGCTCGCGGCGAAGGATGGGGCGAAGCATGGCCACGGTCAGTATCGTTTAGCCGACCCCCATCCCCATCCCCATCCATATCCAGACCCCCACCATCTCAGCACACCAGTTGGGGATAGATACCCCTCGAAACCCGAAGGACACCGCCTGCATCCCCATCTAGGATGGCAAATCGGCCAGTGGGACCCAGGCCGCTCCCCGTGGGGATAGGGGCTCTGTCTGCCGGAGCTCCCGTTCCCCAAGCAGTGCTTGCACTAAGGGGGCTCCTGTCCGCTCTTGCAGCAACCTTTCCCTGGCCACCTGCTTTTGCCAGTGGGCGCCCAGGCCCGCCCCCTGCCTTCTGGAAACGCCCATGCGGCCAAACGTTGGGCCAGAGTCTGGCCACGCTATCGGACGATGCGTTTCCCCAGCCGCTGTGGAACAGAAATAGAAAGGAGGATGGGGGGGAGGAGAAGGAGGACTAGGACGAGGACGAGGACGAGGAGGATACGGCACTGCCGAGGGAAGCGTCGCGCTGAGCACGAGCGCCCACCAAGGGCGCCAAGCTGCTGGCAGCCTGGCTGGCCTGCGAGGAGGCTGGGACCCCACCGAAAGGATCTCGGGTACCAGCCACACAGACAAAAGAGACTGGGGATTAAGTCCCGCAACCTGGGTGAGAAGGTGGGCTCCCGTGGAGCCTGACCCAGGGAGTCTCAGGGTCTGAGACGAGTAGCGGACGAGGTGCGGGAACTCGACGTGAGCCCTCCATTCTTTCGTCCGCAGGATGAAAACCCTGCATGAAGAGGCGTCGGTTGCGCACCGCCCGTTCTGACAGACGGTGCGTGCTCCCCGACGGGCAATCAATTAGGAGGTGACCAGCCGTGCCCGTGGTGAAAGCCCCACAGGAAACGCACAGGCAAACATGACCCGAGGAAACCCAGAGTCTGTGGCCGCGAGCGGCCGTGGCAGGAACGGGGCCCGCTCCAGGCATGGGCTCGGCTGGTAGTGTCGTGTCAGCCAGCGAGGGCCGACTTGGGCGCTTGGAGCCGATCCGCCTCCGCTTGTCTGGGAGGAAGGTGGGTCCCGAGTGCTCTGGAAAAGAGAGAACCCTGGCAGCGGCATCAGCCTGTGCACTCGCAGCTCCATCCCAGGCAACAGCGACGGGCTCGAAGCCCACGCGTGGCCTGACGTGTCTTTCAAAGCCAGGGGAGGGGCTGCGGGGGCGAGGCGAGGAAGGGCCACCCAGGCCCGAGGAGGGAGGGGGGGGATCCGCCTCCCCTTGGACACTCTCCTGACCACGCGTGGGGGACTCCGTCCGAGGGCGCACCGAGCGAAACGAGTCCGATGGGGGAGCGAGATCGCACGGCAGCGCCGAAGCTGCTGCCCTCATTCGTCGGCATCTGCCCTTCATTGTCATCCTGGGCACGCTCAGCGTGTCCAGGAGGAGTGACAGTGGATGGGGTGCCGAGGGATGGCGGCAGCAGCACGCAAACGAGCAGGGCAGGCAAGCACAGAGAGACGACGACGGGTCCTTTCTAGCTTCGAGCCCTTCCTACAAAACTCGCATCTTTAAATGCTGCGATGGGGAACCTGGGTGAAAACATGGCGCAGATGAACCGAATCCTCCTTGGGCTCCAGAGAGGCCGTGGTTCGCCGAGGGCGCCGACAGGCTTTCTTGCGGGGCCGAGTATCAACCCGCTGTTCGCCAAAGAAAAGCCCCAGGGCAGTAGTACTCCATCGCAGGATGCGAGTGTAATGTTGGTGGCCAAGCTTCGTAGCTTTGACCTGAGTTCTGGGGATGGAGTGGAGGTCTCTGCCGTTGCGCGCAGCAAGGTCGGTCCACCGGTTGCCTCGGGCATCGGTGCTCTGGCCCTGCTGGTGTCCTTTAACTAGGGTAACTCGCACATCAGACCCCGCCTCGCCCAGGTCAGAAATCTTGGCCCATATGCGTTCCCAAAGGTCGACGTTTAAACGCCGAGGCGAGCAGCGCCATCGGGCTCCAAGGGCAAGGCCGTCAACCAGGCCTTTGAAGTCGGCGTGCGCACAAACGGGGGGGGGCAGACCTGGAGGACCTGAAGGAAAGCGAAAAGCTCGGCCCTGGGCGAGGACTGTATGGGGCCTGGGAGAGCCCCAAAAACAAGAATATCTACCCCTGGAGGCGGCTCACTCAACTGACAGAAACCCCAGCCTGCACGTATGGCCTCAGGCCAGTACCACATACGCTGACACGCACCGTCCGTGTACACGTTCCCTGTGATACCTTGCGGGTCGCCATATTGGATGTGCCAGTGCCCAGTGCTGTCCCGTGGTGGTAGTGGTGGGAAGCATGAGCGAGAGACGAGTCCTGCCGACCATAACATAGAGTCACGCACTTGCCTAGGGAATCCGCCCGTGCGAATGTAAGACATGTGTAGCTGACGCTGTGTATGTAGTGCTGGACACTCGTGCACAATATGATACAAATCACATGATGCCGCCGTGCACCGAGGGCATGTGTCCGTGTCCCTGTATCCATACTTCGCAAGCCTTGATGGGCTCCAGAGACCGCCTCCCAGATACGCACGTAAAAGACCTGCTTATTTGAGGGAGGGCTTCCACTTGTCAGCAAACGGGTTGGGTCCTACAGGGGTCGGGGTCGGGCCTCATGATCGGGATCGCCATGCTCGTCCTCCTCCCCTGAGTCGCCGCCTTCGTGTAGTTCAACCTTGGATAGGATCTGCAATATTGGCTCGATCCAATATCCAATAGGCTCCCGAGGAATGGCATCGTGTCCTGGGAGAGGTGGCCGTCGGGCCCACTTTTCCCAGAGTCGTCGCACTCCAGTATCCCGAGCATGCTGACGGATGGTGGACGGCGCCTCATCACGAACGATGATCCGAACCCCTAGGTCCGTTCTCCAAACAGTGCTGCTGATAGTGGCCCAACCGAGCTCTCGTAGTGCAAGCACTGTGGCACCAGCGGGACCCGACACGTGCCGCCACGGGTGGGGAGAGTGATAGATCTTCTGGGTCTGGGGGAGCCATGCCGACTGCAAGACACAACGGGGCACTTGCGGATCGCGAAACAGGAGGGGGCACTGGTACAGCGGCGCGGCCCATGCCTCCACCTGAGGATCACTGAAAATAGATCGCTGGAGGCATGATGTAATCCAACACGATGTTCTGGAGCCTGGGGCGTGCCACACACCTCGCTGTGCCTGCCGCATGTGTTCTACAAGTCGTGGGGGAGCTCCGTGCACGCCTAGCCCGTAGGTCAAGGCTGGTGGGAGATGGTGGGAGAGCCTGCCTGTGGAAACGACTGAGGAGAGGACCAGCTCTGTGCAGAGAGATAAAGCGCGGTCGACGACTGGCCACACCCCTCACACGTTGCCGAAGCCTACTGTAGCGTACTGGGCGTCCCGAGACCTCAATCCCAAGAACCTCCAATGCCTCCGCGTAGACGTACCCAAGATCTCGTAGTTGATAGGCCACATGTTTTCCCAACGCAGGGATGGAGCTGGTGAGCCTCATCTTGTGGGCAGCTGGAGGGAGCCCTAGGGCCTTAAGTATTGGCACCAAAAGCCGTAGGACCCGCTGAGACCATGATCCGATGTGCCGTAGTACGCCATATATGTGTACTGTAATGTCGTCCGCATACACGTCGATGCTACGTGGTATGTCCATAGTGCTGCGTGTGAGATGATCGAAGGGGGCAATCATGATACACTGCAACGCGAACATGGCCATCGAGCATCCTGGTAATACACCACACTGCGCATACACGACACCCGAGTAGCAATTGCCCCATACCAAACGTGGGCTGCACGTGTATATCCTAAATGCGAGGAGGAGCAGTGGCCCAGGAAAGCCTTGCTGGATCCCCGCGCGCAGCCGCCACAGCCACAGCACTTTGTCAACGCACTTTGCTACATCAACGATCGCATGCACTGATGCCAGCGATTCTGGTCGCAGATGCCCATCTGCCCCTGCTGTTGCCACCGCGCGAGCTGCAACGTCCGTCGTTGATCGCTGCGAGCCAAGTGCAATATACTGGCGATCTAGACGGGACGCCCACGCCCTGGCCCAAGCTAGTCGGGCGTGGGCCCATACTCGATAGATGGATGGAAGCAACGCAATAGGTCGGTACCCACCCGTCGGTTTGCCCAGTAGAATGATGTGTACGCGTCTAGTACCCGTG